GGGGGGGTTGCATAACTAGCCGTTTGCAGGTATAGGGACTAAGGGAGTCTGGAGTGCAGCCACCATGCATCAGAAAATTTCAACAGAGAAGTGAGAGGAGAGGAAGAGCGTAGAGAGCAAGAACGACGAAGCGCATTCAATGAAGAAATAAGAGTGGGTTCTGTATGTCACTCTAGCGCAAGAGCTGCTGAATGGCACTGAATTAATTCTATTTCCCCTTGAGTCACACTTCCTCTCCACTATTCAGCATCAGTGTGTTAAATTGCAGGATGCCACACGCGGTTTCATGGTTGTGTGCAGCAGAGAGGCTGCTCAAGTGAGCAGAGCTAAGCAAGGTTGTTTTCTCAAGCAAGCAAGGGTATCAAGTTCACTTTATTGAAATGCTCTGATTGTGCGGCCATATTGTGGATACTTTTTTTTTTACTGAAGTCCTCAGGTCCCATCTGTTACTAAGCCAAAAAGTTCAGTCTTATTTTGAAAACCAAAGAGTACACAAGTTACTTTTATTGAAAATATGGTTCAGTTTGGGGTGGCTTAATCATGGCCCGCAAAAGCACATGTGTTGTTGGTTTACTCTCAATGAAATGAGTTGGCTGGAAAGTAAAATATATATAATAAACTCCATCCTGTATATCTTTTTTCATGAGTTGTCAACATAGTGGGGATCTGGCATGTCCTCCCTGAATGTGTACAGAAACTGAGGGGACGCTGGCTCTGTGAACATCCACACAACTACTCTGTCAAATAACTACAAAGAGAACAAATGTTTGATGACACAGTATCTACGGAGACACTATTAAAACAAAAGAGTGTGCTTTGAGTTTCTTTACTCCGGGGTCAGGCACAAGCTTTATCAGCTGCTTTATCTCCAAGGAAATTATTAAATTGGTCAAAGCTGGTTCTTATTTTGTCTTGTGGTACACAAAGACGATGTTATCTTCCTCCTAGATAAACATGAGCCTCCTCACTCTTTTTCAGTCTTGTCATTGTCAGTTAGAAAGTGAACGGAACAAAATACATATAGCTGCTTCTGCTCCTCAAAATAGGCACACATTTTCCTTCAGTTAGTTATGACTTTGGCAGAAAACAAAAAATCTTGTTTCTCTTAAACAACTAGAGGGCAAACAGGCATCAAGCGAAACAAAGCAAGTGCAGCTGAAGTAGCATAAACAAACAAGAAAAGGTGAACTGAGAGGAATGACAGGCTCCATGAAAGGTTCCTTGAGTTCCACTTCTATTGTCTTCATTTCAAACAAGTTTCAGAATAAGTTGTAGGAGAAAAATAGGCTGTGCAGTGTCATATTAATGCTTCATTTATATGTGCTGTTTGTAAAGCAAGTTATGTCATCATCTGCTCCCATTCTTGCCTGCTGATTGGTCTGTACATACTGTACCTGCTTGGCTAAATAGATTTTTATTCCACGTTCACACTGGAATTATTTAGTCCACTTTAATAACAAAGAGCCGAGTCGAGAACATTGTGACATTGTGAAGCGCCTATAGCAAATGTATTTGTCACTGAGTCAGTGGACCAAAAACAGGTTTGTGCAACAAGATATGGTTAGCAGATCAGTTTTAAATATTGCAGGGAGATGTAAGCAAAAACAGGGAGCTTTTAGATGAAGAGCTGAGGATGACAAGCTCTTACTGTGGTTTGTGGAGCACATCTTGTTTTAAAACTCTTGTAAATATATCATCTATTCATTCTGGTGGCATACATCATAAAAGCACTATAGAGACTCGCAGAGGCAGCCAATCCAGTTGGCGTTTGTTTAACGTAGTTATACATATGTCTCAGAATTAATGTGGTGCTGATTTATTACAGAAATGCTACAAGGATCCAATCTATAGGAGGAGAAAGGGGAAAGGAGAGTGATAGACTGAGAGGATAAAGGTGGCAGGGCTGTGAGAAGGTCTTATGTTTTATATCAGGGGGATTATCTAGTTGACCTTTGAACTTCAAACCTGATGATTGGTTTCAGCAAGAGGCAATTCCCACCAATCTGAGACCACTGTCTACCTGAATTAGTCCAAAACCACACTTGACCCCCGCAGGTCACGCTTAATCCAAGCCGTACGGGGCCGGATGTGACTGAGACTCCGTGGAGCGACCCACTTCTGTCACCGGGCGGGGGTGTTCCTTGTGACTGAAACAAAACAGATACGTCTTAATGATGTTTGAAAATGGGAGGCCCCACAGCGTCTCTACTCCCCCAGAGGCTCCTCGGCCTTCATTGCTTCTCCTCCTCTTTTTTCATCTTCCATCTCTGCTCTTCCCTCCCCCTCTCCGTTCTCTATCCCAGTCACTAAGCCAGAGCTTGTTCCAGAGTTTGGAGGCCAATTATGTGCTCGTAGGTGTACCCATCAGATGATTGCAGAAGGAGGGATATTATGTTAAGCTTGTGAATGGTTGAACTTAAACCCTGATCCGACATCTCTGCTTCACTTCAAAGCAATCAAGTGGGTTCCTTGCTGATTGGCTGAGGTGATTGAGGGTTCAGGGAGGAGGGTCTCATTCTGAATGTTAATTAGTGTTCAGACTGAACCAACACAGGCAACAGTTTTCATTTTATGTGTGTGTGTGTGCAGAGAATAAGAAAGAAAGGGAGCTTAAACTCCCCTAAACTCCTATCCAAACATTTTCCCAGTTGTGTTTTTTGGTGGATTTTCTCCCTCAAGTGGCTGGTGTATCATTAGCAAATATGCAGGCGAGCAGGTTGTGTTCATGTTCATAAGCACACCTGTGCTTTACGGCAGGCAAAAGTGACAATGAACAGACTCGCCAACTGGGGAAATAAGTCGCTCAACAGGAAGTGGCAGTAATCCAGCCACTCCAAACTCTGCCTACAAAGAAATAAACAAAGACATCATAAAGCCCTCTTTATCCCTCAATGACTATTCCCATAAATGCTTTAATCACCACTCCCTGGGGACTCAGCTTTTGTGTGTTTGTGTGTGGGTGTATGCGACCGTCCTGTGATGTCCGACTGGTCTCAGCTCTGCACAGATGGGTCTATTTAGCTGCCAGGCACGCCTGTAATTTACTAACATTCATTCCTCTCTCTCCTCTCGTCTCTCCATTCCTCCCTCCATCTCGTGTTTTGTTCTTTTATTTGAATCAAGAGTCGTTGATTATAATGACTCTCAGTCGTCGTGTGCGCACAATGTCGAACACGATTCCAGCGATACATCCTTTATCTGTAAAACTCTGACGGTTTGTGTCAGCTGCCTGCAACAGCTTAAACAATGTCCTGCCCCGTCTTTCTTCCCTCTTCTACTTCTACTTCCTTCTTTCTGTTTCTGTGGTTGAAGGACTGTTGGGTCACGATCAAGAGAGAGCTGGTTTTGTTCGAGCTCCAGTTCATACACAGCAGACACTTCTCTGTGGGGATTAAAAGCATCTGAGAGTGAGAGAGAGCTGGAGAGAGTGTGCAAGTCTATGTGAGAATGTGTGTTTTTTTTACGTGGGTCTGTTTTAGTGCTCAGGACTTGGAGGTGAAATGCGTCAAGCTTTTGCCGGGTTGTTGGGTTGTCGCATCAGATTAACCTCAAGAATCCAACCTCAGCTCGGACTTGTCTGAAATTTTCTCTTTGCCTTTTTTCTTTGCTCTCTTTGCTTTTTGTTGACTTGTCTTCTCTCTTTTCTTTCTGTTCACCCCCAAGTTCATCTACCATTCCACTTTCATCTGAAATTCAGGACATTAGAGATGATGGGTAGTTACTCCTGTGGGTCAGGTGCTTATGCACATGTGAGTGTGTGTATATGTATGCGCTCAGGCCTGTACTTATGTATCAGGGTTCATGTAAACACATGGTTGGACTACTGTAATGTGATATGTGCTCATCACTGTGGAGCTTACAGCTTCAGTCTTGAGATGATGACAGGAGCTCAGAACAAAGATGGTGGTCCTCTCATCCCTCACCACAAACTAGCACTCATCCAGTTTGTGTGTCTGTGACTAAGTGTGTGTGTGTGTGTCTAAGAAAATCCAGTTAGCTTCCCAATGAATGAATCAGATGTCTTGAGACACTGAAACCACATTAGTTTATTTTCCTTTTCTTTAAAGGAATAGAAATGTTCTTTCTCTTTCTCTGTGTGTGTGTGTGTGTGCGTGTGTGTGCACACGCAATGGTATATGTGTGTGGGTAGATAGAAATGTTTTCCTGCTCATGCGAGAAGTGTTCTCAATTACTGCCTTAGTCAGAAGTGGAAACAGATGGTAGCAGATGACGGGAGACAAAGTAGCTCTGTCCTACCTACTCCTTCTCGCTCTCTCTCCATCCTTCCCTCTGTGTGTCTCTCTCATGCACACACTTCTACATCTTAAGCGCTAAATCACACATTCCCGTTAGAAAAACATGCTCACTCTGTGCACATGTGCAGTGTAGACAAAGACTGTCCTTCAGTCATCTTGACACAGATCATCACTCATATTCACCCAGACATGAAAACAGAACATGCAGGCTTAGCATTGGGTTTGCATGAAACCACAGTTCATTGAACTTAGGCCCAGTTTCCACATAAGCAATCTTATGGACTGAGATCTCCTTTGTCCATTGACTGGCGATGAAATAAGACAATCTTACAGCTGAGTGTTGATGTTGTCAAGCTGGCCCTGTGCTGCTGAACATCACTTTGCCCTGGCTACACGTCCACTTTGTCTTTGATTTGAAATTTATGTTTCTGTTAAAAGGATTTTCCCCGTCAATGCAAGCACTACTCAGCAGCCCTCACCTCCTCTTTTGCACTCTCCTTTCCTGTCGTCTTGCTCACTCATTTCTCCCCTTTCACTCTTTCCTCTTTCTCCTCTTTTCATCGCTTTTTAAAAAAGAACCCCTCTTAGTATTTTGACATTTTTTTTATCCTATTCTCCCACATTTTCTTAGTATTTACTAACCCTCTCCACCTTTCTTGCTGATTTCTACCTTTTCCCTTGCCCTTATCCCATTTCTTTATTTTGCTCTCCATCTAAAAAAAATTACATCGGATAAATGTCAAAGATCCCAAATCCAAATCGGAAATTTCACGTTTAAGGCACTAACATAAACAACTATCTCTTTCATCTAATAGACCCACTCTGCTCTGTCCTTTCTCTCTAAACATCCTCCTTCTCATCTTCAGTGGGAGGAGATCAGTGTGATGGATGAGAGAAACACCCCAATGAGGACCTACCAGGTGTGTAACGTCATGGAGGCCAACCAGAACAACTGGTTGAGGACACGTCACATCAGCCGAGAAGGAGCGCAGCGCGTCTACATTGAGATCAAGTTCACCCTGAGGGACTGTAACAGCCTGCCCGGGGTCCCTGGTACCTGCAAAGAGGTCTGCATCACCTCACACACACACACACACACACACACACACACACACACACAGGATAATACACAAGCAAGCTTTTGAACACGCACGCAGCATGGTGGCAGATAACAAATGTTTTTGCAACTTGTGTGTGTGTGTTTAAGCCCCCCTGCCTGGTGTGTTTGTGCTGCTTGTTTTGTTCGCTCTTGGTGAGCAAGACTTTGAGTTTTGACCTGCTCCATGGGTGTTGGTGTTCAGCTATGTGGACTCTTTCTTTTGGATGGAAGCTAGTAAAAACAAAAACACTTTTTTTCAATAGCACAGGACTAAGTTTAATTTGTAACATTGTTGAGGCAGAAATGTTTTGGAGTCAGGGGTCTGTCTCAGAAAAATCACTTCTGCAAAGCTACAAAATATCCTCTGGCTATGCAGTGCTCTTAGCCTTTTATAATGTAATCAGTATTACTTTCACTTCTCAAATATATTACTAACTTATTAGATACATACTGTATTTGTCATAAAAATGGCAGATTAATTGAGAACATTAATTAGTTTACAAATTGGAACAAATACACCCTAAAGCACACACAGTGTGCTTAGCTAATCAAATAAATCAGCAAATTAACTTTAACTTCAACTTCTCTGCGTCTTCTATTGAACCTGCCTGATCTTTATATTTTATCTGATACTATTATGCCGTATTGTTTGCTTTTGCGGCACTCAAGCAATAGTTAACATTAAAGTATGAGAAACAATCAGGAGTAACGTGAAGCAGGACCACTAGAAAGGTATCTTTTGTTCTTAGACAAGGTTGAACATGGATTTTTTTAAAATAATTTATTGTTTATGGCATGCAACCAGTTTACTTAAGTACAGAATATTGGATGATAGCACAGAATATGACAGCAATCTGCCCATTATTAACATATATATTAATGTAAGGCCTGTCAAAAGGTTTTTGTTCGTATTATAATTATTGCATGGTGTGGAATCAATGCTTATTCTGCACATTACACTGCAGAGCAGAAAAGAGTTTTTTTGTCTTTTCCATTTAACACACACAGATGGAAGTTCACTTTGATGGCTGATGAATAGATAAATAGACAAGAGGCGGGAAAAGAATGACATGAGAGAATAGCTGCAGAATGAAACAGACGATGCTCTAGAGGCTTCTTTTGTGGCTCCTCGTATATTTTAACTTCTGATATATTTTTTTTACTGTCCCCTATTCTCTCATATCAGCCTGATATCGCTGCTCCTCTGTATTCATTTCTCTCTACTTTGTCTGCCCTCTGCACCCTTTTCACTCTCATTACATCTCCAGAATGAGTAGTGGAGATAATACTGCATGAGACAGTACAGAGCCGGGCTTTCATGAAACTGCAGACAGTGTTGCTGACTGGCCATCGAGACAGATGGACTGAGATTTAAAGAGAAGCAGCAGAATAGCTTGAGAGCTATGGGGGCCTTGTTAAAATTTCACATTGGATGGACTTTCTCTCTTTTAACTATCTAGCTTTACTGCGTGTTATTCTTTTGTGTCTGATAACTACCATTTCGAAAGTCTGAAAGGTGATGGTTTGTTTTGTTTTGCAGACATTCAACATGTACTACTATGAGTCTAACAATGCCAACCTGTGGTTCATCAAGGAGAGCCAGTACGTCAAGATCGATACCATTGCAGCAGATGAGAGTTTTACACAGGTATGAACACACACACACACACCTACA